CTGTCCCCGGGAAGACGCCTCTTCCTCTACGCCATCCAGCCTTTGTTCTCCCATCCTGTCTGGGGAAACTCCGCCAGCTCCGGGCCCTGATGTCACACGGCCCCCGGCCTGCCCCGGCCCGTCCTGGATCTGCAGAGGCCGGGCCCGCCAGGAGGGGACCGGGGATGGTGGGGGAGCTGTGCCCACCGGAGGCCTCCGGATGCCTTGGCCGAGAGGGTGGAGGGGGCGCCTGGTTGGGGTTAGGGACTGCGGGAGAGGAGGGGAGGGTCTTGCTGATGCTACCTGATTTTCTGGGGGTCTTTGCCACAAAGGCCTTTAAAATTGGATCGTGGTTTATACTTCTGAAAGACATCTTGCTTTCGTTTTGCTTGTCCTTCCTTCCATCCTTCCGTCCATCCATACCTCCGCTCATCCCTTCACCCATCCATCGATCCATTGATCCATTGATCCTTCGATGCATCGATTCATCCAATCTTCCTTCCTTCCTTCCTTCCTTCCTTCCTTCCTTCCTTCCTTCCTTCCTTCCTTCCTTCTGTCAATCCACCCGCCCACCCATCCATCCATCCATCCATCCATCCATCCATCCATCCAATCTTTCTTTCTTTCTTTCTTTCTTTCTTTCTTTCTTTCTTTCTTTCTTTCTTTCTTTCTTTCTTTCTTTCTTTCCTTCTATCCATCTTCCTTCAATGTTTCTTCCTTCCTTCCTTCCATCCATGTTCCTTCAATCTTTCTTTCTTTCCTTTCTTTCTTTCTTCTTTCTTTCTTTCTTTCTTTCTTTCTTTCCTTCTATCAATTTCCTTCAATGTTTCTTCCTTCCTTTCTTCCATCCATGTTCCTTCTTTCTTTCTTTCTTTCTTTCTTTCTTTCTTTCTTTCTTTCTTTCTTTCCTTTCTTTCTTCTTTCTTTCTTTCTTTCTTTCCTTCTATCAATTTTCTTCAATGTTTCTTCCTTCCTTTCTTCCATCCATGTTCCTTCCTTCTTTCTTTCTTTCTTTCTTTCTTTCTTTCTTTCTTTCTTTCTTTCTTTCTTTCTTTCTTTCTTTCTTTCTTGTCTCTCTCTCTTTCTCCCTCCCTCCCTCCTGTCAATCTATCCATTCATCCTTCTTCCTTTCTTCCTTCTTCCTTCTGTCCACCCATTCACCCATCCATCCTATCATTCTTCCTTCCATCCTCCCTCCTTCCCTCCCTTCTCTTTCTTTCTTTCTTTCTTTCTTTCTTTCTTTCTTTCTTTCTTTCTTTCTTTCTTTCTTTCTTTCTCTCTCTCTCTCCCTCCCTCCCTCCCTCCCGTCAATCTACCCATTCATCTTCCTTCCTTCCTTCTGTCCACACATCCACCCATCCATCCTATCATTCTTCCTTCCTTTCTTCCTTCCTACCTTCCTTCCTTCCTCTCTTCCTTCCTTTCTTCCTTCCTTCCCTCCCTCCCTCCCTTCTCTTTCTTTCCTTCCTTCCTTCCTTCCTTCCTTCCTTCCTTCCTTCCACCCACCCTGCAAAAGAAGGTCTCCCTATCCACTTTCTCAGCCACTTTAAGACAGGTGGGCTTCGACTCCCAGTATCCCCCAGCCAGTCTGGCCTTCAGTTCCATCTAGTCTAGGCAAGTGAGACCAGGGCGGGGGTCTCTGCAGAGGGGATCCAAAAAGTAAACATAATCACAGCCTGGAGCCTTTAACACCCACCAGATGGAGCCACCACCAGTTTTTGACATTTGTGTGTGTGTGTTTGTGTGTGTGTGTGTGTTCTGATTAGCTGTACGTTTTATGTTTTTTTAATGTACATTTTACTTCCTAGCTGGCAGCTGCCCAGAACTGTTTAAGAATTGGATGATGTAAAGGGAAGTAGGAATAATCTTCAGGAAAAAGAAAATTTAACCCAAAGCAGGAAAGTAATTTGACAGAACATCTTAGGCAGGACCTGCCCCTCCCCAGTCCCCATGAACGCAAGGAGAGGGAGGGAATGTTCCAACTTGCAAGAATAGAATAGAATAGAATAGAATAGAATAGAATAGAATAGAATAGAACAGAATAAGAAATGGAATAGAATAAGAAATGGAATAGAATAAGAAAATAGTGAATAGAATAGAAAATAGTGAATAGAATAGAATGGAGTAGAATAGAATAGAATAGAATAGACAGATTGTAGAATAGAATAGAATAGAATAGAATAGAATAAGAAAATAGTGAATAGAATAGAAAATAGTGAATAGAATAGAATAGAGTGGAATAGAATAGACAGATTGTAGAATAGAATAGAATAGAATAAGAAATGGAATAGAATAAGAAAATAGTGAATAGAATAGAAAATAATGAATAGAATAGAACAGAGTAGAGTAGAATAGAATAGACAGATTGTAGAATAGAATAGAAATATAGAATAGAATAGAATAGACAGATTGTAGAATAGAATAGAATAGAATAGAACAAAATAGAATAGAATAGAATAGAATAGAATAGAATAAGAAATGGAATAGAATAAGAAATGGAATAGAATAAGAAAATAGTGAATAGAATAGAAAATAGTGAATAGAATAGAGTAGAATAGAATAGAATAGACAGATTGTAGAATAGAATAGAATAGAATAGAATAGAAATATTGAATAGAATAGAATAGACAGATTGTAGAATAGAATAGAATAGAATAAGAAATGGAATAGAATAAGAAATGGAATAGAATAAGAAAATAGTGAATAGAATAGAAAATAGTGAATAAAATAGAGTAGAATAGAATAGAATAGACAGATTGTAGAATAGAACAGAATAGAATAGAATAGAATAGAATAGAATAGAATAGAATAGAATAGAATAGAATAGAGCTGGAAGGGACCTTGGAGGTCTTCTAGACCAGCCCCCTGCTCAAGCAGGAGAACCTATACCATCTCAGACAGGGATTGTCTAGCCTCTTCTTAAAAACCTCCTTTTTTAAACTCTCTAATCAGCTCAGTGACAGCTTTGTTCACACATCTTTATTTGCGTGTGTGTGTGCGCGTCTGTATTGTGGGCAAAAAGACGAGCGCTCAGATTTTATCCAGGTGCTCCTTCCCACAACTTGGAACATGAATGTGCCACAGAGGAGGAGAACATTAAAAATAGGATCAGGCCTGCTGAAGGGTGTGGAGATCCTGTTCCCTCTTTCCCAGGGGATAGAGAAGATGCCTTGATCTCAATAGTGCCCTCCGTCTGATCCGGGGAACGCCTGGTGTGTTTTCACAGGCAGAAATTGGCAACTTGCAACGACAAGACAGGGCAGCCCAAACAAACCCAGTCAGACGATGGCTGTCATTGTGGCTAGAAGACTCTGGGAGGATTCTCCCTCCATACAGGCCACTGATCCATGGATTAACTGATCATTGAAAAATTAGAAAATACTTGTAGCTCAGGTTTTAGATTTTGACAGGGGTTGCTCTCCAAGCTTGTTTCAAGCTTGCTCAAGCAGGAGAACCTACACCAGGGGTAGGCCACCTTGGCTCTTTTATGACTCGTGGACTTCAACTCCCAGAATTCCTCAGCCAGCATGGGGGAACTATGGCCCCCTCATGACTCGTGGACTTCAACTCCCAGAATTCCTGAGCCAGCATGAGGGAACTATGGCCCCCTCGTGACTCGTGGACTTCAACTCCCAGAATTCCTCAGCCAGCATAGCTCAGCTTGGAAACCTCTCCCTTTCCCTTCAGGGTGGTTGGCTCAGGAATTCTGGGAGTTGAAGTCCACATGTCTTAAAGTTGCTGAGGTAGAGAAACAATGGACTAGGCTAGGGGCAGGCAACCTTGGCTCTTTTATGACTCATGGACTTCAACTCCCAAAATTCCTGAGCCAGCATGGGGGAACTATGGCCCCCTCATGACTCGTGGACTTCAACTCCCAGAATTCCTCAGCCAGCATGGCTCAGCTTGGAAACCTCTCCCTTTCCCCTCAGTGTGGCTGGCTCAGGAATTCTGGGAGTTGAAGTCCACCAGTCATAAAAGAGCCAAGGTTGCCTATCCCTGCCTTACACCATTTCAGACAAGTGACTGTCCGGTCTCTTCTTAAAAACCTCCAGTGATGGAGCACCCACTACATCTGGAGGCAGGCTGTTCCACTGGTTAATTGTCCTCACTGTTAGGAAGTTCCTCCTTACTTCCAGATTGCTTCTCTCCTTGATTAGTTTCCATCTGTTGCTTCTTGTCCTGCCCTCTGGTGCTTTGGAGAATAGTTTGACCCCCTCTTCTTTGGGGCAGCCCCTCAAATATTGGAATATTGCTATCATGTCTCCCCTATTTCTTCTTTTCTTGAGACTAGTCAGACTCAAGTCCTGCAGCCGTTCTTCATAGTTTTTAGCCACCAGGCCTTGGATCATCTTAGTTGCTCCTCTCTGATTTTTTTTCTAGACTCTCAACATCTTTTTTGTGATGTGGTGACCAAAATTGGCTGCAGTGTTCCAGGTGTGGCCTCACTAGGGCTTTATAAAGCGGTACTAATACCTTGCGTGATCTTGATTCTATGCCTCTGTTTATACAACCCAGGATTGCATTAGCTTTTTTGGCTGCTGCTGCACACGGCTGGCTCATGGTCAAGCGATCGTTCACTAGGACTCCTTAATGTGGAATAAAGGGTTGGGACTAACCAGAAGACCCCTTCGCTCACCGAGGGAATAGCCGGGGTTGACGAGTTACTGAATTTTGATCGCGTGACCACAGGGACCACTGGTGTTTAGTATGACAACCGCTCCTCCGTCACTTTTTTGAGGGCTGTTGTAACTTTAAACGGGCACTAAACAAATGCCTCTATAGTTTGCCTTCTATAGTTTGCCTTCATTTTCCTACATCCTGGCCTGAATCTATGGGACCTATTTTATTTCAGAACAAAATAAGATTTATTAGGTACATTAAAACACACCCATGGAGAAAGATGGGTGGGATGGGGGAGGAAGAGAAAGAAAAAAAGAAAGAAAGAAAGAAAGAAAGAAAGAAAGAAAGAAGGAAGGAAGGAAGGATGATAGGATGGATGGGTGAATGGATGGGTGAATGGA